GGTCATACTTGCATGCGCGAAGAGTTGGGCACACATGGGTGTGTGTGCATGCATGTGGGCAGGGTGCATATGGGGGCCACGTGCAATTGCAGGGGTGGAGGACACCTGGGAGCACACATTGCCTTTGGCACTCGGCAACAAACAGGTTATCCATCACTGCACTAGAGGATAGTAGAATAGGAAGTGTCCTTCTGATTGACTGCTTGCTTTACATAAGGTTCCCCATCACTTGGATTAAACTTCACTTCAAGGATAGAGAGGTGGGCTACAGGATAGCTCTTGCTTTTCTCAATTTAAGATGAACCAATGCACCAAGCAATACAATTGAAGAAATTCTTGTTAAGTAGAAGAAATGAACTTTTAAGCATGGGTCAATTGGTATGCCACGAATCTTACCCATTTGTCTGGATATCATCTTTTCTGGACACCGAACACAAGCATAGCAGCAAAATTTCTGGCCTTCAATCTTGTTCTTTATTTTCCCCAGAGGACAAGGGTCATTACATAATGAGGAAGGAGGCAGCTATCCCCAAAGAAACAAAGAGGTCAGTATTAGTCTTTTGTTTTTGCTTACAGCCAATGAATATGAATAGCTGCCCGGAGTCCCCTGGGATTGGGCAGCCTATAAATCTAATAAATTGAATTGAATTGAATTGAATGAGATAGTAGAGAGTCAGCCCTGCCATGAAGCAGACTCAGACGGTTTAATCATGAAAATGGTTTCCTGAACAGAACAAAAAGGTGAGCATTAACCTTTTCTCCCTTCCACAGACAATGAATAAGAATCAGACTGTTTATAGTCCTTACATAAAAAAGACAATCTGACTGGGAAATGATTGCCGAAACCAGGAACTTAACAGATTTGTTTCTAGTTTAGATGAAGTTTAATCAATGAAAGACAGCCTAGTGTGAGTGCAGTGGTGGATTGCTCATCCCGTTCCAACCGGTACGGTTGGAACGGGGCCGGCGGCATCCTCGTGCATGCGTGCAGTTCACGCATGCATCTTAGCGCCTGCGCGATGCTCCAGCTGCTCACAGAGAATTGCACAGGTGCTGTATGTGCCATGCGCCTGCATGGAAGCGCAGAAGCCTTCAAAGATCGGTAAGGAGCCGGGCGGGCGGGTGGGCCCTTCGGCGTTCCCGGAAGTTACTTACTTCCAGGTTTACCGACCAACTGGTCCGCGCAGACTGCCGCGGACCAGTTGAAACCCACCCCTGTGTGGGTGGGTGACCAGGCTGATACTGAGGGAAGGGTGAAGCAGATCATCAGTTTGGAATCTCCTTGCACCCACAAGAGATATAAATTCAGCCCTCCTTTGATTTCGTTGATTCTTATTTACCGCCAACTTGGTTTAACTGTTAGTAGTTCAGATTTTTGTAGAGATCTTTATCAGGCAATAAACTGAAGTTTAGCTGATGTCTAATTAATGAAACACAGCCTACTGTAGAAGATGGACAGACTGAGACTGAGGGAGGGATCAATTACATCATCAGTTTGGAGATCTAAGAGACGTAAGTTCAGCCCTCCTTGTTTATGTTGATGCTTATTTACCACCCATTTTAGTTTGACTGTTAGTAGTTCAGATTCTTGCAGAGACCTTCAGCAGGCAATAAACCTTTATATTTATTTGAACTCCTTGGACTCCTGATTTTCTGAGCTTGACATTCACATTTTCATATACCGTATGGAGTGGTTACTTGACACACAAGTAAAATTGTCACCGGTATGTTTCTCACAGTCACCTTGACCCATGAGATGAGCAGGAAATAAATTAAACAATCAACCAATCAANTCCTTCCCCAAGGAGTGGGGTGGAAATGAAGATTTTGAGTATCCCCCTGGAGTGGGGTGGGAATGGAGATTTTGCAATATCCTTCCCCCAGGAGTGGGGAGGGAATGGGGGTTTTGCTGTATCCTTCTCCTGCCACACCTACCAAGCCACACCCACAGAACCAGTAGTAAAAAAAAATTGAATTTCACCACTGGGACAATGTTTCTAATGTATGAATGTTGAAGAAAGGTGAACATCAGTGATGTTCGGATAGCTGGCCTAGAATGATCTATTGGTGAATTAAGTCCTGCCACTCAGTTTTAACCATGAAGAATCTTTTAAAAGAGCATTGAGAGAGGGGAAATCTTACCTGCCAAGGTTCTACAATCTTTGACCGCATTTGATCCCCATCCTTTTGTCTCTTCTGATGTGTCCTAATTGTGTGAGCAGCATGTAAGGCTTGAGCCAAAGCATAGACGGCATTGTAGATACTATAACTATGACCAAGTATGCTAGTTTCAAAGAAGGGTGCGGGAAGGTCCTCCAACCTTTCCTCTCCAGTACATTCCTCACCTTGAGAAGCACCATGATTGCGTGGTATGCAGTCAAAAGCTTGGTGCCAAAAATCTCTCATAAAGCCATCTTCATTTGCCCCAGATGGGGTGACAGCCTGTACAAATTGTCGGAAACCTGGAAGTTCTTTTTTGCTAATTGAGAATGAAATGGCCCCATGGAACATTTGCATATCAAGAACCCTTTGTAAGGAATGTAATGTAAAGTCATTTTGGGCCATCGTGATCCACACTTTTCTCGTACAAAAGTCCTCTAAAAAATCAGAAGTTGTTGGGAGAATAAATTTGGTCAGCACTATAGTAGAGGCGAGCCACATAAAGACTATATTTTCTCCGTATATGACAACTGCATTGGCCACTTTCTCTTTGAAAATGGTAATATGCTGCGCAGCTTGTTCAATTATCCCAGATAATTCATAAAAATGGAAATTTCTCTCAACCCTTTCGGTGAATTCGGAGCAGATTTCATTTTGAGAGAACATGGGTTCCAGAGTTTGTATGAAATGTTCCCCATGTTTGTCATCTACAATGACAAGTCCTACCCATCTCCATCCAAAGTGCAGGAGGAGCTGGATTAAACCCTCATACTGGAGAGCTTCATCGGGGGCCATGCGATAAAAAGGGGGGAAACGTGATTCATCAGCCACTGTCAATTGAAATGAACCATAGGAAATCTAAAAGAAAGAAGGAAGGAGTGAGTGAATTGTCTATTAATCTGCCTCTCTGTCTCTCATCCACCTAGTTCAGGTCTTTTGCTCTAGCTAAGCTGTTTGAATTTAAAGATACAAAATGTTGATTTTTCCCCAGGTTAACCATTCTTCCATATGTTGTCCTCCACATCTGTCAATAGAAAACCCAGATCTTAAAATATATGAATTGAAAACAAAGCAGCAATGATAAGTGTTCTGACCCCTCCTCCATCCAGTAACTAATGCTGAGACAAGCTTAACTGGAATNAAAGGGTCGGGGCTACTACTGAGAAGGCCCTCCTCCTTGTAGTTGCCAGCCGACACTGGCTGGCCGATGGTATACGGGTCCTTGGAGGTCATCCAGTCTGCTCAAGCAGGAGACTCTATACCAGTGATGGTTAACCTTTTTGGTAACGTGTCTCAAACGGTAGCGAGATTGCTATGTGTAACACCTCTGGCACGCATGCCCGAGGTTTGCCATCATGGCTCTATACTATTTCAGACCAATGTCCAGTTTTTTTTTTGAAAGCCTCCAGTGATGGGGCACCCACAACTTCCGAAGACAAGCCATTCCAGTAGTTGATTTTTCTCACTGTTAGAATTTTTCTGCTTATTCTTAAGTTGCTTCTCTCTTTAAATACTTTCCATCCATTGGTTCTTCTCTTGCCTTCTGGGGTTCACTGACAAATACATGCTCGACAAAAGCGCTCTGATGAAACCGCGGCGAGAAAACCGCAAAGTCAAAATCACGCCGACAAATGCGCACAGAAGCGTGCCGACAACAGCGCGCTGACAAAAGCGCGCCTTCAACAAACAACTAATAACAACCTAATAACTCTAACCCTAAACCTTACCTTAACTTAAATCACGTTTTGTGGGTGCGGTTTTGTCGGCGCATTGTTGTGGGCGCGTTTATGACATCGCGGTTCTCTCGCCTTGGTTTCGTCGGCTCGCTATTGTCCTGCGTGCATTTGTCGGGTCACGGCCTTCTGGTGCTTTGGAAACTAGGAAACTCATCTTTGTGGCAGCCCCTCATATGTTGGAACACTTCTATCATACGTCCTTAGTCCTTCTTTTCACTAGACTAGTTATCCCCAATTCTTGCAACCATTCTTTATATGTTTCAGTGCCATGGTGGCAAACCTATGGCACATTTTTGAAAGCATGCGAGGTGTTGCCTTGTCAGCTCCAGCTGATTTTCGGCCATTTTACATCCTCTGGAATCTTCAGGAGGCTTCCCTGAAGCCCCCAGAGGGCGAAAAACAGCCCATGTGCAAACCGGAAGTTTGGGAATGGACTTCCGTTTTCCGTGTTGGGCTGTTTTTCAGCCTCCAGAGGTTTTAGAGAAACCTCCTGAAACTTCCAGAGAGTGAAAAACTGCCCAAGGTGTAACCGGAAGTTTGAGAAAGCCTGGGGAGGGTGAAAAACCAACCGACCAGGCCATTACTATTTCTGGAGGGCTCCCAGGTTGGGTGTTAGGGGAGGCTATTTTCACCTTCCCTAGATTCCAAGAAACCCATGCCCGCATGTACAGGGCAGAGGGGGGGGCATGAACACAGGCGCAGGGGGCATGGTGCAGGAGGGGATTAAATTATGGGGGTGAGCACACAAGCGTGCACGATAGCGACCATATTCCATGTTAGATTTTTTTTAAAAAATTGTACTAAATGATATTGTTCGCTGATAACTCAGAAAGGTAGTTGGAAAGAATAAGAAGCAGCAATGGGAAGAAAATCTAGGGCAGAGAACTAGAAAGGCAGAAGAAAGTTGAAGATCCATTGTTTGGTGTGGAAAGAGAGATTTTGCAGTGTCCTTCCCCAAGGAGTGAGGAGGGAATGAAGATTTTGAGTATCTTTCCCCTGAAGTGGGGTGGGAATGTAGATTTTGCAGTATCCTTCCCCTGGAGTGGGCTGGGAATGTAGATTTTGCAATATCCTTCTCCTAGGAGTGGGGAGGGAATGGGGATTTTGCAGTGTCCTTCCCCAAGAAGTGAGGAAGGAATGAAGATTTTGAGCATCTTTCCCCTGAAGTGGGGTGGGAATGGAGATTTTGCAGTATCCTTCTCCCAGGAGTGGGGAGGGAATGGGGATTTTGCAGTGTCCTTCCCCAAGAAGTGAGGAAGGAATGAAGATTTTGAGCATCTTTCCCCTGAAGAGGGGTGGGAATGTAGATTTTGCAGT